GCGCTCTGCCATGAGGACGTTTGGCTTAAAGACACATCCCAGGGGAGGAGATTGTCCCAAAAGGACACAACACAAGGGCGTTTCTGGTCCCCACCTGTCGTTTTGCTCCTCAGCTTGGCTGCCTAAAAACGCTGCTGGATTTCTCAAACATGCACGAATGAGTCAAAGCAAGGCTTCGGGCATTTTTTTTATGAGAGTATAACATTATAACATGATATAAAACTCAAAAAAGTTGATTTTACATGATATTGCCCCTTTAAACTACTATAACTACAAACTTGCTGTTCTGTGTTGTCTTTAATATTCTCTCGGTAAAAAAAACATCTGTTGATTAATCCTGCAGTCGATCACTGACATCGTTATTGTATAAAAAAAACAAAAACAAAACTAAACAGCCCCGAAAGTCCGAAAACTGAATTACCGGTAAATCATTTTAGCGATCCTGTGGTTCAATATTTTTTAAACTAACTACAAAGCTGCTGTTCCATGTCATCTTTAATATTTCCTCATTAATAAATCTGTTTGTTTATTAAGTCTGCAGTCACTCACTGACGTCAGCAGCTCATTACCATTTTCTGAGCCATGGAACCGGGGGTTGCTTTTTTACAAGTCGGTCTTCTTGGCTCAGGCCAATATGATACTTCCTCGCTTGACGGCTCAGAGGGGCATCACAGGCAGACTCACTTTACTCACCTTTCTGTCGTCATGTTGTCTCTGAATAGTCTGAGGAGGAAAGAACATGTGTCAGTCCCGTTATGAACTGTCTTATAAATGAGGCTAAAGACGTCAGGGATGAATCGATGTATGAAACAATATTCTCAGAATTTCTAAGACTCCATCTTTTTACAATTCTTTGGCCATAAAACTGTAACTTCACCTGTTTGTGGCTCCTGATGTGTTTATTCTGTAAAAGTTCTTTTCCATTTGGTAATCACCCATTTCTAACATACTGTTTGCACATCAAATATTAGCATGGATTCTTTAATTTCCCTTGGTGCACAGGTCAAAGTCGTGCTGAGGGTGAGCCGACTGCTGTCAGAGAGCCAAGGCCAACCACCTGTTCTCCGGATCGACCCATCCAAGAGAAGAGTCACCATAATGGAACCTGCCACCAAAAACCTWCCTCGCTCCACACTGACCCTGGGAAGGGAAAGCAAAAGTCTGCTGAAGACCTTCAACTTTGATGCAGCCTATTCTCAAGATTCAGGCCAGGTTTGTTTATTTTAATGCTAATAATCAGAGATTAACTTTTGCATGTGCTCTTATTTTTTTTTATCTGTTTAAATAAATGAGCTGTCAGATAATTCATTGTGTGAATTTGAGTCTTGCGTGTCCCCTCTGCGTTTGACTATACACACTTTTACTGGTTCCCACACTTTGCCTAATGACCTGAAAACTGACACCACAGTTACAGGATGCATCAATTAACTCAGCTTACAGTGTTTGAGCTCCAGGGATCCTCAAGCTTTAATGTCAATYTACTTTAGGTCTTTGATTGTTTTGGATGCACTTTTTCAGCAGCTGTGATCAATCAGGATTTGAACACTGTCCTTTGTTCTTTCCAACCAGGCCGAGGTGTGCGCAGGCATCCTGTCTGATGTCATCCGCTGTGTCCTCAGTGGCAGGGATGGATGTATTTTGGGTTTGGGATGTGCTGATGTAGGTGAGTCATCGGTCATGGCGAGAGGCCATGGGTTAAAATGTTAAGATGGGAGTGGGATCTCTCTCTCTCTCTCTCTCTCTCTCTCTCTCTCTCTCTCTCTCTCTCTCTCTGTCCTTGGATTAGTCTGGACACATCTTCAGTCTCCTCACATATTTTTCCTACTCAGTTTTTGTCTCTTGCCTGACTCTCTAAATTTTGACAGAAATCTGTTGCCATTTCCATTCTCTAGCTCCCATAATTCACCTGTCTGTGTGTCTGTATGTGTATCAAATAATCATTGGATGTTCATCTATGACAGGGGTGCCCAAACATTTTCCCCGAGGGGGCCAAAATGAAAATCTATCCATGGCTGCGGGCCAAATGCAGTAATATAATACATGAAACACAAATACTTTTTTAAGTCCTTTATTTTTAACGATTAAGCT